GTATAGAGAAGCTAGCAATGGCCATCAAGGTGACGAAAACCAAGAAGAAACTGATTTACAACAAGAAGCTATGCAGTCTCTTGGATGAGTATAGATAAGTTATAATTGCTGTCGCTGACAATATCGAACTTGATCCCCCACGCTACTCATCCTTTCAAATGGCTTAACATTCCCACTAAGATTAACAAGGATATTGTTCAAATCATTACCCTTGATGAGCTGATCAAGAAAAGAGACAAAACGAGTCATCTGAAATTACCATTTTAGCCAAGTTCAAGGCACGCCTTAGGTGTTCATCAATTCCTACAATTATCATTTTAGCCAAATTTAGGTTGCACCTTGGGTGTTCAGTAATTCCTACAAGGATCATTCTGATCAAATATGAGTTGCATCTCACATATTCATCGAAGTCTACGTATTCAATATCGTAGGGGGTTGTTATTAATAACGCTAAAATCCATGTCTCACACGCATGGAGGGTTTTGTTTCAGTCCCTAATTAGAGACAAGTCGATGCCTAACACGCGTCGCCGGTTAGTCTTTTCCCCGTGAAAATAACAAAGCCTATGTATTCAATATCATAGCACCAAGCCTAAAAGAGTTTATTCTTTTGGCACAACGTTACATGTATAATGAACTTAGACAGTTTACATGCTAGTCAGATTTCAAACGGTAATCAGTAAACCACATCAAATCCATTGATGGCTGAGGATTTGCCAAAAATCCTATGCATATCACCAATAGACGAGTCCTGTGCAGCAAAGTTCTACATTCAGGTTCATGATACCTTCAAAACAGATATAGTGAACCATCATTCAACAACATATTTCAAACCAATTTAGGGATCCAAAGTATTCTGAAAGTTCATTCCAGTCAACTGCGAACTTTCGAAAACTTTGGATGAGGTTTTGCAGGCTGTCTAAAAATTACTGCAGATAGCTGATCTCCATCAAACACCAATGACGAAAGTTACAATTTGATGACTTCCACATCAATAACTCGACAATGAATGTTACTATCAAATGACTTTCACATCAATAAATAAAAGGCTACAATTAGAAGATTTTCACGTAGATCAAGAAAGGTTACAATTCGACGACCTTCATGGAAACCGATGAATGCTCTGATTCAACACTCTTAACAATCAATAGCGAGAGTTACAATCTGACGACTCTCACATTTCAAGGAGCTAAAGAAAATATTACAAAATGATAATTTTTGTAACGCTCAGACAAAAGAGATTACAAGTCAACAATCTCTTCAGTCCAAGATGCGGAGTTCATCTCTGCATCCCAGAAATGAAATGCAAGTGGCTTCGTTCCAGAGTCAAAGCAACACAATCACTACGTAATCCAGCTACAAACGCAGATTTAATTCAGCTGCAAACGCAGCTCAAAAAACTGCTACCAACGCAGCTTCCAAAAGCTGCCAACACAGCTTCCAAACTGCTGTCAACACAGTTTCTAAAAACTGCCAACACAACTTCCAAATGCTGTGTTCGAACGTAGAATTCATTCCAGAACGCGGGTTTTACGTTTGACTTGTTTAAACACGAGCTGAACGGTTTCAAAACCGTTTTCCATGATTTAAGGGGATCACTCTCCCACTTAGGAGCGATTTTTAGGGGTCAGTTACACTCCTTAATCCCTTATAAATAGCTAAAAAATCAACTTAAATCAGATCTTTTGGCAGATCATCAAGAGAGCTGGAATCTTTTAGAGATCGGCATTTTTCCTCTGCAACCGAAGGTCTTCTTCAGCAACAGATCTTTGGAGCTTTCTCCCTTGGCTTACAAACCGATTTTCGGTTTAAATTAACTCTTTTACGGAGTTTTAAACTCATTCTGAGTTCTTAAACTCGTCAGGAGTTCTGTTCAACATGCCACGCATGTTCCCCACGACATCAAATCCGAGAGGAATAGATTTTGTTCCAACGAGGTGAAACGTCGGATCGTCAACGAGAAGCAAACTCGACACGAGTTTCGAGGAAGGCATATCATCGACACCAAGAAGAACCCAGTTTTAAACAAAGGGAAGGATGTTCGTCGATTCCTTCTCTCTTTTGTAAATCGAGAATTCAATACAAGAAGATTGTTTTTTTTTCTAAGTTTGTTAGAGAAAGATTGTATCGAGAGAATTATAATTAATTCTTTTTCTAAGTCTGTTAGAGAGAATAATACAATTTCTCATTTCTTCTTTCAATTTTTCCACCAAACACAGATTTCCTTTCTTTTTTATGAAAAATAAAAAACAACTTCTTAGCATATTTGTATATCTTCACCAATCACGGATACGAATATGACTACGAATATCAATCGGTAGGGAAAACTCATATCTAGATCTATCAAATTTGAATATAGATACGGATCAGATAAAAGAAAATATATCTGAAAACTTATTAGATACGATTGAAAACTGATAAAATAAGAAAATATACATGACACGCAAATCATATTTCACCGATGTGCTTGGCATGCTGACCTACTTACATTTTGATCCCAATCATGAAAATTAGTTCCAGATTCACTAATCTACAAATAACTTTCATTATCTAGTCGATAAAGGTATATGCATATCTGTTTTTGTATCCGGATATTTTACCCATGTCCATACTTGCATACTTATGCTGTATAAATGAATTAAAATGGCACGTGTATTCATATCTATGCACTATCGAATACGGAGTATATATACATCAGCAGACATACATACTCTTTTGCATCCTCCTCGTGAGTGATAATGGGGAGCTTAATAATTGTAATTAGTTTTTCATAATCCACATATGAGGGCTTAAAGCGAGGAATTCTATACTTGCACCATTTTACTTCAACGAGATTCATACCAGGAGATCGACCAACACCCAACAACTAAGTTAAAATGAGATCTTTACCGTTTAATTTTTATTTTTATTTTTATTTTTTTGGATTTAGATTTGATTGGAGCATGATTTGTGAAGTTGATAGGTGATATATTAACATCTAATTCAACAAATCGTGTCATGAATCAAGGGTCGTTGATCATTGAAGAGATAACGTTTACTTGCTCATTAATATTATGTGTATTTAAAATAATTGTTGTACTTGTGTAATTCATGAGGAAGATTGATCTTTTCTTTTGACATAAGAAAGGTAGCTAATCTTCTCAAATACTTAAACTACATCTTAGTGGATCAAGCACACGGCATCTTCCTCCATCATCATCACTTAATTATCAAAAAGAATATGATAAATACAAGCATCCCTTGCGTATGACCTAAAGCAATGGGGGTAGTTTGATAAGATACTGCCCCCTCTGGTAGGATTTGTAATCGTATCTCTTGAAAATATTAATCGCATTCCATTATTATACAAAAATATTAGCTGTATAACTCCACTTGGTCATCTAAGGTCTATTGGTGATAAAACATTAAGAAGTTAATAATCAGTGGCTAACTCTGTATAGTATTATAGATAATCATTTATTATTGGGTACATAAGTGCTAATTTAGCCTTTTTAATATTGACAAGGACAGTACATTGATTACAAGGGCGATAGCTGTAGGCCTATTGGGCTACTTGTTAGGTTGTCGTAGGCTTTAAAGTTGGCAACAAATTGAAGTCAGTTTCGTTGGGCCGCCATTTTAAATATATGACGGCGTCTGCTATCGATAGGACAGTTACGTGGGGCTCTTAGGGACTGTTTGGTTGTTGTTGGTAAAGTTGTGTATTTATGACATAACTTGGAAAGTTGTTGTCCACCTCATCAATTTCACTTTTATACTTTTCTTTGTTTGTTTTTTATTCCATTGGAATCATAAAACACTTGTTTGGTTTGCAAAATAAAACTTTAATTGTTTGTTTGAAAAGTGTAAAAAGTGGTCCCTACTCAAATGATCACATTGGTTGGAATTATTTTTTATTATTTTTTCCTAACTTCAATGTTAGCTTTCTCCTAAAATCATGTCTTTTTTTCATGAAATCACTTTACAAGCCACATCAGCATATGAAATCACTTTACACTATTTTCACAACTACAAACAAACAATTGAAAGTGATGAAAACTGACATTGGGACCCACTTTTTTACACTTTACATCCTTTTACATGGTAAAAACATACAACCAAACACCCCTTACTCTGAAAACTTTCTCCAACGTGAAAAGTAAGGGTTAAGTTCAGTAAGACCCTTGAACTTTGGGAGTTTTGCCAAGAATCCCTAAATCTTTGGGGTGTCTCTGGAAATCCCCGGAACTATAAACTTCTCTCACTAGAACTCTCCTGTAATTGGTAAATTAATTAAAATATTATTAAAAAAACTCGAAATTCATCATTTGACTGTGCTAACAACATGCCCTAATCTCCAAATTAAGGGTTTTTTCTCTTAAAAAAATTTAGTTATTGATAGGGTAGTTCTAAGAGAAAAGTTTAAACTTTAGGGATTTTGTGATGTAGCCAAAATTTTAGCTGCATTATGCGAGATGAAAAAAGTTTGACCGGACTGTGTGCAATTTTCCCAAAGTTTTTTCGTTTTTTTGGGGAAAAGTTGCAGGATAAAGGGATTTCAGCGGAACAATTTAATGAATAAATTATGAACACAAGATATTATGATTTATGAACGTTACACGAAAACCTTTTATCTTAATTTAAAAGACATTTCTTTCGAAAAATTACTATTTTCAAAAAACCTTGCATTTGTAATAATAAATTTCAAGAAAAAGACAAAATAAAATCATTAATTGAACTTCCTCCGCTAACATTTGCATCAGCCACCAACAAAAGTCAATGGCGCAGAAAAATAATTCTGACAACAATTTCAAAAAAAAAGAAAAAGGGGAAAAAACCTGCTTCTAGAAGGTTTTCCAAATTTAATTCCTTAAATAGAGGGATTATACTGTCTTTAAAACAGTAATAATACCATCATTAACGCTTAATTAATTTTTTCAAAATCCCTAATTCAGAACTGACTCGTTACTGACTGTACTATTCACCAAGATGACATTTTTATTTTCACCTTTACTCTTTCTCTCTCCTCTCTCTCTCAAACCCAATCTCTTTCTCTCTCTAAACTCCTTCCAATTATTTTTTAATATTTTTCATCATTCTCTCAACCACTGCATCCTTCAATTCTCAGAAAAAGGGAAAAAAAAATCTTTTTCGATTCTCGATCGATCGCTGCTGCGATCGGCGCCGATGAATCGAGGGTTTGATTGATTCCGATGGTCGCCTTTTTGTAATTTCGATGATGGGTTGCTTCCCTTGCTTTGGATCGACCAAGGGGAGCAAAATTGAGGTGAATAGTAGTCAGCAAGGAGGAGGGGATCTAAAGAAGGAAGCTTCAGTTGCCCCATCCTCTGGTAATTTTCCTTTTTTTTAATTTTCTTTTCAATTTGGTCCTTTTTTTGTTCAATTTAAAGTGTATTAGTGGTAAATTTTGATTTTGTATGATTAATTGATGGAAATGAACTACGTTGTGCTTAAAATGAGGGTTGTTGGGATGCTATAAGTTAGAAATATTGAGCAATTTTTATATGGCTATTCAATTTCATATGAATGTTGTCTGAGGAAACTACTAGAAATAGAGGGTTCAAAGTGTTCTGTTGTGTTACTATTGGCACACATCTATTCAGTTAGAAAGTATGAGATTTAGTCCCACGAACAGTTAGATGAATATGTGGTTAAATATGTTTGGACTCATAACTTAATTAAGGATTAATTGTTTTGAGTCAATTTCGATTCAAGTAGATTGGCCCAATCTATCTCCGTTCATGGGTCATATTAATAGTGTGCACTTTCACCTTGGCTCATGTTTGATATGAGCCCGAAGAACATAGGGATATACACCTAAACTGATTCTAGGCAATGGCTTCAGCCTTCAGATACAGGCCAATGCGCGAGGTGTAATGCGGTGTGCAAAGCATCTTTACGAGCACATGCGCGAGGCTCAACGTGATGCGCACGCCCAATTTATGCGAGGTGTACACCGCACACATAATTTTTCAAGATATATAATCGAGCACGAAAGAACATGTTTAAGAATTCACATAAAAAATATGTGAGGATAAATAATACTTTACTATAAAATCACAATATAAGATCTTAATTTCTAATGCTAACACCCAACATGGTAGCAAAATTCATAAAATTTCAAATCAAAATGTCAAATCAAGACTAATATTCAAGCAAAGGATTAGTTATTGTCCTTAATTGAAAAACACTAAAAAGGCCTAACGGATATATTTTGCTTTTTGAGATATGGATTATCGAGTATAAAGATTTGATTGAAATGTTAACAAACAAAATTATATGAGGGTATGTACTACATGCACCATGCGCAAAGTCAGAATGTAGGCGAGGCGCAAAAGGTGCTGCTGCATCAGATGCGGGGCGCTTCGCCACTACCCCACATCGCATGAGGAGCACGCCTTTGCAAACACTGATGAACACTAACTACAAATCAAATTTGTATTCTTCCATTTGAAGATATCAACTCAAAAGCATTGAGATACTAAACACCAAAAAAAAAGGAACACCCTTATGCAGCATCAACTGATATCGAAAAAGTGATTAAACAAGTAAATTGAAAAAAAAATACATTCCGAGCTTAGTCTCACATTATTAAAGTGTTGTTTAATCCTATCAAAGAAATTCCTCAATAATTTGTGAATTTTAGAGATTAGGATGAGAATTTCCACGTGAATAAAAGAAAGACCAAGTTTAAAGCTCAAAGAATTAAGAAAATCTCATGATGATTAAGGATAAACCTCTCCTTCCAATCTGTAATTTTATTTGGAGATGGTCGGGCCTTTAACTGTAAATGGGGGGGTTTTAATTGGTTAGCTCAATCTATGAGCCTTTAGTTATACATGTTGGGTTTGCTAGTTTGTTTGACTAATTTTTGAGCGAGGCTGTCTTGAAGCTTTTTAACATAGTTAAACTCATTCATATATAAGTTAGAATGTGCAAAATATATGGCTTTTTTTTTGGGCAGGGACCCCCAAGCTTGAACATTGCTCCGCCCCTGGCTATTTTGTGTGCACAAGAATACAGAGACATGAATACCACATGAAATGAATAAATTCTAAAACGTTATACACAACAACACTATCATGTCGAAGACACATGAATGACATGTGTGTCCGATTCATGTTCGACATGGCAAGGCTAAAAGTGTGCTACGTATTGTGATTATAGATGTATCAATAGATCAACATGCATGGTTTGGTCATTCCTTGCTTAACGTACTTGGAATTGCCACCATGGGAGCTTCCGAAGCGTATACTAATAGTATAGAGAACCAGGAATGAAAGATCTTGAGTTCAAATCTCATCATAAACGTTCAAATGTTAATGTATGTTGGCTTTTTTATGATGACGTATAGTGTAATATTCCATATTCTAATTGTTATACCCAAGTATTGTTTATAATTTTGTTTACATTAATTAGTTTATTTGAAATAAAATAATGGACTTGTCTGTTTTCCAACATATATTTGCAAAAATAAACTAATTAATATAAACAAAAGGATAAATACTTGGGTATTACAATTAGAATACGGGATATTACATATAGTGTTATCTCTCTTCCACATTTTGTCTTGTTGTTTTGGTTAGGTGGAATAGTAGGTGTGGGTAGGTGCCTATGTGTATCTTCCACTTTTATGGGTTTTGTGATGCAGTATAGTACAATTATTGTCTGAAACATTTGATCAGCCTAAGCATCGGTTCTGTTAAACACCCAGTGAGGAGTTATTAATAGGCAGTGGCCAAATAATCTCAAAAGGTTAGCCTATTTTGTTATACTCTTCAAGAACACGTTGAGCACTGATCATTCCATTATTTCTCTGATGTGAGAATAAACTCACATAGAACTTCTTAGTATTATCACCTCCTTAACTAGGTGGTTGACGAGATGCTAGACATAAACCCAACATTAAGATGGTAACCCCTGTCGTAGGGAATTACCTCCATCTTTCATACACAAACTACACAACATAAGCTAAAAGACTGAATTGAAACACATCCCCTGCAGTTGCAAGAAGAATATATTTAGAGATAAAGATTTTTAGAATATACCTTCCCAACAAATTTCATTTCAAGTTACTAGTCCTTAACTAATTTAAATATGTAGAATCTGCATGACATCTATCAAAAATGTCTCAGAAGGTCTTTGTGGATCCTACCTGATATGTGTCTATGGTTAGATGTCATCCCAAATAGTTATGTCAAGGAAAAGAAGAGAGGGAAAATTTTGAAGAGCTATATCTATTACAATAGTTTAAGAACTCTAGTCAGCTTTTATGTGGGTTCCGATGAAAGGACTGGATGAAGTTTTATCAAAGGAATTCTTAATCAAGTTGAGCTCACAATGTTTCGGATTATATCCAATGATGATTCGTTAGAGACTAATATTCAAATTATAAAAAAATTTATGGGCCTATTTCATAAAAATGCATAATTAAATGGTTAACATGATTTAACATCATGTTATAAAGTACTGCAAAACTATAAAAGCATCAGCTTAGGATGTTCACTAGAACCATTTAATGTAGAAGGCTATCAAAATATAACAATCATGTCTTTAAATCATTAGGGTAAAAACTTGTTTTCACCATAGAACCAGTGGTGAATGATCAATATACTGTGTTGGGTGATGACAGATATACCATAGGTAATCCGTAATCCTTCCAAATACTGGAATATTGCTAAACCTAAGAGAAACTTAACCTCTGACAGATAGAATTGTCTTTGAATGTCAGATTGAGCACTATCATTGACATGGTAAATTATCATATAAAAGGCTAAAGGACTTATCTTAAGGATCAATTGAAACTAGAGTTAATAACAATGCAAGTTAAGGTTAGGCCCGGGGTGAACTACAAATGTTGTGATGAAGGACTTGGCATAGAATCCTCCTTGCTTATTCTGTCACTTCACCATCTATCAGTTACCAATCAGTTCCCGATTGTCAACCCAACAAGGTAACTTATGAGAAAAGAAACCTTAGGACGAGCTCCACCAACTAACTTAGATCGCAATCAATTTTATGTCCTACCTTCTGATATTAAACTTTTTCAGTTTTCTCAAGTCTAGAGAACTGCCAAATTGTCAAACATCGTTGAATACCTATAATCGGATAACTTGCCCCTTTCAATGGCTTCTCTTTTGATGCTTATGTGAATGCCCCAGAGTTATACGGGAAAACTTTGTACCACATATAAATTATTGATGGAGATTTACTTGGGATAAAATTACAGTAACTTTATGAACTTTCAACATTTTCTCAGAAAACTAACATAAACTTAATTTGTTCTAAGTTGCTACCATGAAGCTCAATGTTCATGGTAGTATGTTAGTACCTATTGTAGTTTTGCTGTAGAGGAACGAAAAAAGTGTAATGACGGGTCAATGGGCTAATTTACTTGCATGTCTGTCACAGGGCAGAAGTGACTACTTGTGGAACTTTTGATAATTTCCTGGTGTAAATAAAGTTTCTTGACATTTATCCTTTTGTCTATTTCTCTTAGTTTCACCTTATGTTTCCCTTATTTAATTATTCTAAATCTGAATTGCTTACTTTGTGCAAGACAAATCAAAGTCACAAAGTGGTTCAGAGTCCAAGAATGAAGCTTTAGTTACCAAAGAAGGAAATGCTACCCGCATTGCAGCACGAACATTCACTTTTCGTGAGCTTGCTGCTGCTACCCAGAACTTTAGACAAGAATGCTTGATTGGTGAAGGTGGTTTCGGTCGTGTATATAAAGGTCGCTTGGAGGATGGACAGGTTGCACAAAATTTTCTTCTCTTTTCTTCTCCCCCTGGTCAGTTCAAGTTTACTCAAAATACTGTTTTTCTCAATGTTCATGAATCCTTTGTAAGGGGAAAAAAAATGGAAAGCTTGGAAACTTATGCGTATTTGTTGTGTGATATATCTTCTGAATTATAGTTTACAGGGAGTTTTTTAATTTGATGATGCAAATAAAATATTTTTGGTAGGTTGTTGCTGTGAAACAACTGGATAGGAATGGCCTTCAAGGAAATAGGGAATTCCTTGTGGAGGTCCTCATGCTTAGTCTCTTGCACCACCCAAATCTTGTAAATCTTATTGGTTATTGTGCTGATGGAGATCAACGACTCCTTGTTTACGAGTTCATGCCATTGAGATCGTTAGAAGATCATTTGCACGGTTAGTTTCCATACACTGCATTTCCACTGATTAGCTTACTCTACTTTGGATGTGTTTGATTGTGTGGTAAATCACTAGAATGACTTTTTAATTGTAAATATGGCTGCTGAGTGCTCTTTTAAAGTTTCACTAGTATGATAATTGCATGATATGATGGCTAATATGACCACTCATGACGAAAAATATCAATCATTTAGTATCTCAACAAACTTAAGAATATTGAAAGAAGAAACAATTTTGTAAACAGCAAAATAGCTCAAGAAACCGATATTTCATATGATTGGGAAGATCCAAGCTTATGTACACTATATATTGCATAGCAAAATACGTTATCTCATGTTCCCACATATTAAGCAACATATTATAAAGAAGGAAACAGCCTCTTATCACTTGCGATCTATGAGCTACCAGAGATGCAACGAATTGTACTTCATTTTCTGATTGCCGTTTCCTTTATCAATGAGGTGTCCCATAAAAAGACATGAGAAATTGATGGAGTTTCCTCCCTTTCTCCTAACTTGTGAAAAGTCAATTTGTGCAGGAGAAACAAAGTACTAACAACATGTGATTTAATTTGCCTTAAGAGAAACTTGCTGTTAATATCAGATATACATAAAAATCTGCCAACAGCATGTGAAAGGTGCATAAACACTAAGCAAAGAGACATGCAAAAAGTTCACATGGCTCTGGCATATCAAATAATGTTAAGTACTTGAACTAGGAAAATAATGCTAACTAAACTACAAACTTCATGCTATTTTTGTACTGCAAGAAATAAAAATGTGGGTTCCCTCTCCTATGAAACGCAGTCATAAATTATGAGTCTCTTAGGGTACCACACTTTTGATTCTTGTAGTACAAATGTAGTTAAAGTTCCTAGTTTACTTAACATTCTCTTTGAACCTAGGTTGCACGGATACGGGTGCGGGTGCGGGTGCGGACAAAAACAGGGTCACAGTCACGGGACGACAAATTTATAAAAGTCAGGGATACGGATGTAAACATACATACATAGACCTATATATGTATGTATGTGTCTATGTATAATCTCTATTAGAACAAATATTGAATTAAAATACCTATAGCATTTGTATGTTTCTTTTACTATTTATAATAATTAAAAATCAAATTAAATCAAACTAAGAATTAAGGTTTAACAATAAAAGTTTAGTTTTGATTGCATGAGATCAAATGTGTATTTTTCAAAAATTTTAACTAATGGATTTTGGTTTTTGAGTTAAAAAAACCAATTGGTTTTGAGCTCGATGTACCAAAGAAAACAATTTAGGGTTATAAGAAATGGAGAAATTGATTTTTGCTTTGAATGACATGTGTCCTTGACGTGTCCATGGCGAATCCGTCCAACACGTGCCCGACATGGATACGACACCTAAAGCGAAGTGTCTGGGTAACCTAGCTTTGACCTATGTGAAGCAGACTTGCAATCCATAGAAATACACATAAGGAACTTATAATCAAATGAAAAATTTGAGCACAGGATTTCTACCATTGTAAAACACGTTGAGGTGGATGATTGAAAATGTTGAACATATGAAAGTGACATCATTCACAATGAAATAATAACACAAATCATGATAAAAAGGTCTTCTTTGTTTCTGTATGTGTCATGAGGCTAATCTTCCCTCGTCCACCAGGTGCTATATTTACCTGTGTGCTAAGTTGTAGGTTGTCTAAAATAGAGAATGAAAGTACCCTAGACGGGGTGAGGGGGTGAATAGAGTATTTGCTAATCTAATCCGATATTGATGTTAAATTTAAAACTTATTAACTAATATCCTAGCAAATTTGATATGCAACAAATTATATGCAAGGATAAGCAATGATAAACAATATGACAATAGGCGAAATAAACAATGGGCACAAGATATAAGAGAAATATACACAAATGCCAAACACAAACACAAGAAAATGATCAAGGAGTTCGGTCATCGTCGACCTACGTCTTCGCTCCTCACCCTCGAGGAGATTCTCCACTATCACACAAATAACAATTACACAATTCGGTTTTCAACGCTCACCGATAACGTTTACAAATCACACGATTGTCAATACCATAAGACACTCCTCTAAATATTAGCCTACCTGTGTCACCTTATAAGTGCTTGGATTTACTATCTCTCCTTAGGTTTTACAACCAACGTCACTTCTCTTGGAATTGATCAGGGTCTCTCACCAACCACTCCTCTAAGTGTTCTTGTGTATTACAACGTGATCTCAACAATTTAGTGCAAATACAAAATTTGTTCTCTAATACAAATTGAGAATGAAAATGAAAGCTCACGCTCAATGATTCACTCAACACAACCCAAATATATTATATGTGAAAATACTTAAGCTCAAGGGGTGTGTGTATAAACAATGAGTATAAATAAAATCAAACTCAATTAAAATCTAGCTTATAGATATGATAATCAAAATACAAATTTGCTAGAGATTGAGTTTAGAAAAACTTCTCTGAAAACAAGAGAGATAGAGATGTGAAAATTTGATACTCAAACTGAAATGATCTCCTCCTCTTGTGAAACTCTCTTCACATAAACAATATACTAAATTTTTCTTTAAAATACTTAAACAAACTTGCAAAATTTTGCTTTAAACTTTTCTTAGTTAGTACTAAGTATTGAGGACTGAGGGGTATATATAGGTTCTTAAAACAAAGCCTCAAAACCAAGGAAAATCACAAAATCCAACAAAATCCCTGAAATCACAGAGTCTGGAAAACTAGCCGTTACAGTGTCATAAGTCGACTTATGCAACATGATCAGTCGACTGATGAGTCGACCGTTGACTGAAGCTGAAAATCAGAACTCCGTAAGTCGACTGATGAAGTCGTATCAGTCGACTTATCGTGCGCTATCGATCGACTGATAAATGTGTATCAGTCGACTGATGAGCGGCTGACCGCAGGGTTTGAAAATGTGTCTCTGGCAAATCGACTGGTTCCACTTGGTCAGTCGACTGAAACTGATACACAAATTTTCTAGAAATAAATTTAGTAGAGAAATTGATTTTGTAAATTCAATTAAAAATAACAATTCAACTCCAAAAATAGTAAAATTTGGGGAAATGTTTGTATACATGAAATTAAACATGCTAAAGAAGAAATTTTTGAAAACGCATTTCCCGTTTGTGAAAAGTTACTATTCTGTAAAAAGTTCAAAACACGAGTTTTGTTAAATACTTGATTTTGACAAAATAAGTTTAGAAATTCTTATGAATGAATTTATAGACTTGGGGAAAGATGTAAAACTGTTGCATAAAGTCGATAATCCAAAAACTTGATATTTTCTCAAAAACGTGTACGTGTATGAATTGAGCTGTAAGTCTAAACACATAAAGTATAAACAACCTAGACTACAAAACTATACCCAAGCTAATAATCTCTTCGTGACGCTCGATCTTGGTAACATGGATGAAATGCAATAGTGTTTTTGACTTGAAATGCAAATGGCTTCATTCTAATATCCACTAACCTTCAAAATAACGTCGTTTACGCTCAAATCTATCCAACCTCCAACGGAGGATCTTTGTGTAGAATTCCTAACAAGTAAATATAAACACTCGACAAATGATGTTAGGAATTGTTTGTTAATCATCAAAACTAGATTAGATAGTAGGTAAACATGAGACCTAACAGAGAAGTCTTTATAGAAACATTAACAATACTTGTAAGCACACATTCTATTCAAAGAGATTTTGGCATAAGAGAATCAACCCTAATTGGTTCAGCTTTTGTGTTTATAGATGAAATAAATAGGAACAATAGAAAATTACAAAATAACCCATTACACTCTTCCTTAATTTGGAGAATAGATGTCAATCATGCCCTATTTTATACAAAGATTAAAGAAAAACTTTCGTAACGATGCATTTACGAAAATGTCAGTCTGTTACCTAGAAGGATTGTGTGGAATAAAAATGTTCTTTTGTGTGACTATATGCCAAATGAAATAACAATCAACTTCACTATGCTCAGTCCCTTCGTGGAAAGCAGACTTGTAAGCCATATACATTATGGCCTGGTTGTCAACAATGCCTATTTCCTTCTGCCATAACCAGATCATTATTTGCTCACATGAGCGGCCATAACTTGGATGATCATTCTAAACTCCTTTGTCTTTGTTTGGTTCCAACAATGGGGATTTTCCAGGGTAATCAACCATCCAGTATGGGTTAATCTGCTACCTCTATAAGTACCGGTTACTAGGGTGCTTGAAACTCATGTACCATCGCAGCTAGTCTCAAGAACATTAGTTTTCATCTACAGGAAAAAGAAAATTTAAGAGGCATGAATGTGATTGCCCCCAGTATAAGAGTCAGCCAAAAAACATGTTTCACAAAGATTAAGAATGTCACTTGACTTAAACCTGCTAGTTTTTCTTTGTTCCTCAAGGTTCACTTTCAAGTGTCATCTTTTAGTTATTATAGAAGTTGTGCCGTGGTTCTTAGTTTAGAAGATATATCTTAGTTCTTTAGTTGTTTCAGATGGCTGATTTGGACTCCTTTTCTTTTAGACCTTCCATCTGACAAGGAACCTCTCGACTGGAATACTCGGATGAAGATAGCCGCTGGTGCAGCTAAGGGATTAGAGTACTTGCATGATAAAGCAAACCCTCCTGTTATTTACAGAGATTTAAAGTCGTCAAACATTCTGCTTGGTGAAGGATATCATCCAAAGCTGTCTGATTTCGGGCTTGCAAAACTTGGTCCAGTCGGAGACAAGACCCATGTCTCTACACGAGTTATGGGCACCTATGGCTACTGTGCTCCAGAGTATGCTATGACTGGACAGCTGACTCTCAAATCTGATGTCTACAGTTTCGGTGTTGTATTACTTGAAATTATCACTGGACGTAAAGCAATTGATAGCACCAGGCCTACTGGAGAACAGAATTTAGTAGCATGGGTAAGCCCTCCTCACTGTCTCACGCAATTTATTTGATCATTTTTATGGTGTTTTTGTTCCAAGTGCAATGGCTTTGGTTCATCCAATTTTCCAGTTACAACATTGATTTGTAGAATGCCATGTTTTTCCATCTTATTACCTTCATTGTTCTGTAGAGTTGCAAAATGATTTACCAAGAAAGAACTATATGCTTTAACATGGGGAAAAACTTGTAAAAACTGTCATCACTCAAGAGTAAGATGGCTCAGTAAACCCTTTCCCCCTTTTTACATACTGAAATTGTGAACCATTGATATGAGAACTAGTCCCAGAAACAATTATAAATGTTTCGTATTCTTGAATTGGAGGAAAAGAGGACATAATGCCAACCACAACAATTTGTAATTGAAGCTTTTGCTGCTGTTATGTAATGTTCTCCATTCTTGACTAACCAATAAAAATGTTATGATGCATGTGTGAATATGTGCGAATAGATAAAATGAGAAATAATTACATATGTAGTTGCATAATGTTCTCCATTCTTGATTGACCAATAAAAACGTGATGATCCGTGGGTGAATATACACTAATAAATAAAATAAGAAGTAAGTACAATAATATGCAGTTACATATTACTCCAGTCAAGACAAAAGTGAGAGAATGCATTGAGATGGTTTGAGCCAATGGACCACTAAATGCAGGAATTCACAAATTAGGGAAATGGTAAGATTATAATTAATGGAGCTAGGAGAATTGTAAACAAGCTTAAGAAACATCGTTGTAAGCTATTTAAGAAGGATATACTAGTGGTTAACTTACCAGATGAGTGAGCCCTCAATAGAACTGAATGGAAGAATATGACTCATGCAGCAGACCTCCAATCAAGATAAGGGGGTGGGGGGTGTTTTAAAGGCTTAGTTTTTGTTATTGTTGTATTCTTGCTTGACTAAACCATATTTCTCTTCATTTTATCCGACATGCAGGCACGTCCCTTGTTCAAGGACCGAAGAAAATTTCCGAAAATGGCAGATCCACTGCTACAAGGCCGCTATCCAATGAGAGGCCTATACCAAGCATTGGCAGTTGCGGCTATGTGCTTGCAGGAGCAAGCTGCAACTCGGCCTCTTATTGGGGATGTCGTCACAGCACTCACATACTTAGCCTCACAAAGTTACGATCCAAATGCAGCTCCTCCTCAAAGAAACAGAGCTAGCCTACATGCTCTAAGGACCAAGGAGGAGAGTAGAGGCCTTGGAGGTGGATTCGACAGTCCACGTGCTAATGATTCACCTCGTCAAAATTCTCCTGGCTTCAGGTATAATAGGAAGGAAACCTTGGAGGAGCCTGAAGCACATGAGTCTCATAATGACAGCCCAAAGAACTTTGGGAAAGCAGTAGAAAGTCGTAGGAGTCTTAAGGATATTGACAGGGAGCGTGCAGTTGCAGAAGCCAAGCTTTGGGGGGAGAATTCAAGAGAGAGAAGACGATCAAATGCAGCTGGTAGCTACGAAGGCACAAATGAATAGCAACCCCACGCGATAATAATGTATTTAAAAAGCTTGGAAGTCATATTTTGCATCTTGAATCCATTCCCCTGCTCGCAAATAAGGTTAATTATTATTATCACAGTTCAGGAAGGTGAAGATCTTTTCAATTGATCCCAATTTACACATGTAGCTCTGCACCATCATGCACCATGGTGCAGTTTTGCACTTTGTACTTGGGGCTTCTGTGTGAAGCCTGCAATGGTGCCTGTCATATTCTGTTACATAAGAGAGTTTATGAGTGTTGTTATTACCTGTATCTCATATCATAAGATTATATATTCTATTACATTTTCAAGTCTTGCCTTTTACAGTACGTGATTTGGTAATTACAAAGTAGCCTCTTTGCTTTACTACTTACATTCGGTAGTCTGAATTGTTGAAAATTTATTGTTGATTTTGTACAAAAGTAGGATTCGAATGCGATATAAGTCTGAACAAAACACAAGCAATTGTGGTTTACGTTGAATTCCTGATGGCATGCATCTCAACGCATGAACAAGAGTTTTCAAGCCACACCCCTAGAAGGTTCCTGCTGTAGAACATGATTCACACATCTGCAAGTTCTTTCCTCTTTTATTCTTTTTTTTTCTTGTTTCAGTTGTATCAACTGAACTTTGTATTTTCAGGTTTTCTTACGTTTGACAAAGTAATCACAGAAAGCAACTGAAAATTTACTGCTTCAGTAGTGTGAAATTTATTGAATCTGAATGTAAATATGTCAATAACAATCAACTGACATCAAGAAATCCACTAGCTTTCCTATCAGAACCTTTTATCGTGCAGGAAAATTCTGACCCTCGGTGGTGTCACCTCAAATTACTCAATTGCCTCTCAATTGATTTTCTGTTCCTATCAGAATGCTCCGCTCAGTGTCAGGACGCCTGATAGGATTCGTACTCCAAGAAATCTTCTGCTTTGGAAAACATAATGTCATAACTGAAGATAACTTGAGCATAGAAGAAACAAGGACATAAAAAAGACCCTTTGGGTTTCAGTAATTAATATGAAAGAATTTTTTTTTCTTCAACAAACATAAGCCAAACCATAGCTTAAAAAATTAAATAAATATATAGCTTAAAAAATTAAATAAATATATAGCTTAAAAAATTAAATAAATATATAGCTTAAAAAATGTGCATCTCCAAGAGAACAAACACATACATACATTCAGAAATTACAATCCAACTATATACAATATATATACAGACTCTTTTCTTCCATTCCCCCCACAATCCAACTATATACAATATATATACAGACTCTTTTCTTCCATTCCCCCTTATTTCTTCAACATCCATTGAAGGGGCTTCGAGTTCCAGACGATAAACTCACTGGAGGATGAGTAGTTCCCATCACTGCTACTGATGCTCATACAGAACTGCTGCCAGTATTATTTTGTGAAACAAGCTTTAGAAACGACGGCATAGACGGGTCTCTTGACATGATAATGTTGCCAACAGAGTCCATGTGGTATTGCTTAATTTTTATGTCCATCACTATTCTGCAAGAGCCCCAGGAATCTGCTGATAGCTGGATGCCGTAATATGTAAGGTGATCCAAAATGCTGTTCCCGCTCACAGACCTTTTAAAAGGAGAAATCAGCAAGTACTTCTCAAAAGAGAGGTTTAAAGCTGTGTGTGTGTGACAGTGAATCCTATTGAAGGGCCCTCAACGGTATTATAGGGATTAGGGAGGTAAGAGACAACTTGTCTTAGTTGGAATATCCTTAGAAAAGCAAGAGATGACACATGTACAAGCCAAATTTTAAAGCTAGATGGTTATTAACTACCAGCTTTGACAAATCCTCCTACCTCCCTATCTATCACTATTACATTTAGGGCTTGTTTGGATTGAGGGGAATGAGAGTGAAGGGAAGTTAGGGGAACCATTCACCTCCATTCATCTTGTTTGGGAACACTTAGGAGGTGAAGTTAATTCACCTCCATTCACCTTGGTTCACCCCCTAATAGTATAAAATTTGTTACCCCCCAAATTGGGGTGTAACCAAGGGGAAGGGAATTCCCTTCCCTTCCCTTCACTCGGTTTCCCTTAACTTCCCTTCACCCCCTACGAATCCAAACAGGCCCTTAAGAAAAGCTCTTTTTTGAGTTCTGCCCCTAGGTTAGTCACCTTTAAAAAAAATCCAATAATATACCAAAAATTAAACGCACATATTCTAGTAGTTTACAACTTAGTTGAGGGACAAGTTTGGGAAAAAAACAATAATCTAAAACTAGTGAACCATCCACTATTTCAAAATCACAAACCCTCTCTAAATTTTTCCTCTCTTGCTCTTGACCTCTTTTCTATAACTATTGTTTATACAAGCGCATATATTATGCACGCATCACATGCACCTGAATGCTATATGATTTTATATAGAGGACCATCTATAATACTTTTTTTCTTTCTTTTGTAGAGAGAGAGACAGACCTGCTACAATTTGGGTCTTCGCCAGTGCTGTCGCAGATTTCGTCAACCAAGTATACAAGACTTCCTATACCGGCATTGTGGAGCCACACCTGAAAATTATTTATGAAGTGAACTTCACAACCCTCTAGAAAATATGAAACATAAAGCCCATGAACATGACCTTTAATTGAGCAATTAATAAGGTTTATTGTTCTTCAATAATTAACTAACAAATGTTGCATATTAAAGATATGCTATTAATCTAAGCGTGTAATCAGACACCCAGAAGTTGGCACCAGTATGTCACTTGATAGAAGGTTGTTCCCAGGTAAGCGCACATGAATAGAAACAGATATTGGGAATCACTTCCAAAGCTAAAGTGCATATACGACGTATCCACAAAACAAATATACAACAACTAAAATCATGTATGACTATGTGAGGCACATATTATGAGCTACCTCTCTAGGGAAGTGATGATATGTCTTCCGAGGGAAACAAGAATAATACGGTGGTAGATGTGGCACCATGTCGTGCTCGTGTGTCACCCTAATCGTCTTTGGTAAAAGTCTGCTGAAGTATGAAGCAAAAACAGCATTGCCGATTCTAGGCTGTCCAAAAGTCATGAGTTGAACATCGGATTCTCCACAGTTGACCTGTAAGCAAGAGATAATACAATCCACAAACAAAATGATTTCCCATAGCTACAGGACAGAGATTTCACATTAAATATTTTAATCTTAATAGGCTAAGGTCCTCTGCATGAAGAGTGGAGAAAAAACCTTGTGGCATAGAGAACCCATATGGTACAAAGATAACTGCTTAAACTGTTTTGGAATCAAAAAGCTTCATATGAAATATAACAAATAGGAGGGAAAATATAAATCGAACTGTCTTCTATAGTCTGCTTTTCACTTATTAAGTGACTCTAGCAATAATTAAGTCCAAATGCAGATTCTTTCAGCTCTAAGTATAGATGCTTTACATTGTTGGGGCAAAACATACAAGCACTCACCGCGTGAATAGTAATAAAATGGGCCTGCTAATAAAGCTCAATGTTGTTAAGCAAAGCACTGATAAAGGATATCCAACTAATGACCAATTAAAAATGGCAAATGAGTTCTACTGTAAATTCAGGACAAAATTATGGCAATTACCCTGATGCTCTGGGGTTAAGAGAAAAAAGTTTAATGATCCCTGACTAGTATGGTAATGATTTACTTCAAAGCAATACACTATGGTTTTACCAATAATAAAAGTTTGCATGACTAATAAAACCGGAAAACAAAAAGGTCAGGAGAAAGCTTATGGATGCCGATGGCTACTGACAAGTACATAATTCCACACTATCAGACCTCAAAACCAAATTCGTTAGAAGAAAAAACTGCCTTGGTACTCCATAAGAAACATAAAATATAAACATAGTCATAGACAAGAATACAAGTGTTAAAAATGATCATGAAGCTCATAACTCCTATAATTTAGGTTGCACAGATACAGGTGTGGCTGCAGACATGGCATATTATAAAAGCTAGAATACGCGGACACGGCGATATATTTATAAATTACATTAGATCCAATATTAAATTAAAATGCCTATAACCGTTGTATTTTCTTTTATTATCTATAACAACTAAGAAATAAGTTAAATCAAACAAAGATATTTCGTCATTGTCGAGCAACTAGGAATGGAGACCTTCTCTTCATTTTTGGGTTCACAGCAGATGAAGTGGGATCAAAGAAGAAGATGTAGAATGGTTTAGTTTTAATTAAATGGGACTGTGTTATTTCTCACATCTTTAATTGATGAGTTTCGATTTTCTGGCTCAAAATTTTATTGATTTTGAACCAAATAGACCAAAGAAATCAGTCTAGAGTTATTAGTAATGGGGAAAAAGGGTTTTACTTTGTACCACGTATGTCCATGGTGTGTAAGTAGTGAATCCATGTTCAAAATGTGTTGGACACGGATATGGCACCCACAAACGAGGTGTCTGGGTAACCTAGACTGTAATAGAATAATGCCAACATAGTTCTTATAAAAGAGCTCAAACTTACAGTAAGATCAAGAGCGCAAAAGGAAGCCATAGCCCCTCCCATCGAATGACCAGTAACCATTATGGGCAGATTTCCATATAATTCCTTTGTCCTCTGGACAGCACTTAGAATGCCAGGTCGCAGAGTCGTGTTATGGTAAGCCAAATAGAATCCACGGTGTACCTTTAACCATGTTGAACATTATAAAATTAGTAGTATATATCTATACAATTGCAGATACAGTCCAAATGAATAGAACCAACCATCGCATCAGGCATGTCATCATAGTTCAGATCCACTTGTTTCCAAAAGAGGTCTTCAATCCAGTTCTGAATGCTATAAAAGCAACCCCAAATACCATTAAATCAGCAAAACTGAAAGACCAAATGAAATCATACCCATAAAGAAAAACTCGACGAGGATTCATCAATAGAAGCATGATCATTTTATAAAAAAAAGGCAAAAAAATCAAATTTCCTGAGTCTTGATGTGACACTCCATCTGGACCCAAACTGAATTCTTTCATCCTCCCAATTTAACTCACTGAAAATATAGACCAAATTCCATTGAAAAAAGTTTTTCTGCTAATGATATTACCCCAGTGCAATTTATCAAACCAAAGAATCATGCTCCTGTTAAGCGTAATGTTGTATGGGGACCAATTATGTGCCAACATTTCTTAAGAAATGATAGGTTTGATAAAGGTATCTGATGAACAGACTTATATTTGAAATTAGCCGAGACCACAGAATAAAATAAAAAATAAGAATTCAAGGATATATGTGACATGGAAACAAAAACAAAAATCAAAAGGAGTCATCTGCTTAATAATTTCACTACCCTGCTGTACTGAATAACAATAAGTAATCACTGGCCAGGCTTGCACTGCTCAGTTTCATGTTATTAGCTGTTGTTCGTTTTCTTCTTAACACCTAAAAAAGAAAAGGAGAAAAACAACTTCAATGAAGTCAAGAAATATGAAACTCCTGAGCAAATGTTTTTCACGCCAAGATAAAGGAACTAGGTGACTGACACCTATATGGATAGAGAAAGATAGCTTTATTTTTCACCAGAGATTCCCAGCACTTATGCTTCAGAACAAAAGAGAACTGGATTATATTTGACCATTACGATATATAAATTTCTGTATGTGTTTTCCTCTAGAACCCTAGTTACATTCTTACATGTAAGTGCTCCTGTGAAAAAAAATAAATAAGTAAAACACTAGGTCTTTGAATTGGATCAACTAATCTTTTCCCCAAAATATATTCTTTCATGATAGTTTACTCCTGAGCCTGTCCCATCTCATAGGAAAATAATAAGCTCTCTCACATATTCAAAAAAACCACCTTAAGCCTTGTTTGATCTGTAAACTGCAAGTGCAGCAGAAAAACTTACTGTTGGTAAGTTTGGACTATATGTCCAGAAACATGCCAAGTTGGCAACTCAGAATTGAGGAAACCAATAAGGTGACCTTCTGTTTACAACTACCTGTGCTCTTGGGTGCCTCTGAAAGCGATAATGGTGGAATTAAGATTGTGGTCAACACCGACAAATGCCTGTATAAAATTTGCTACCATTTGCAAAATTATTCACACTCAAGTAGCTCGAGAGCAAATTAATAAAGTTCACGTGTGAGGGTTATTATAAACAAGAAAGCACCTGTAAGCAGTTCTGGACATCAACAATCAGTTCTATCATCTCAAAGCTCTGTTTCAATGTGATAATCAGTTGAATGAGCAACAATAAAATGGAAACATACAATATTATCAACTAATTAGTTTCGCAACATCTCAATTCTAAGCAGATGCACTTCTATCAATGTCAGCGGAAATGCATAAGCATGATCTACAATACGAACAAATTTTTGAAATCAATCAATTTGAGAATTTAATCAGCAAAATCGACCTAATTAGGAAAAAAATTAGCAAAATCGACCGCTCGTCGTGAGAGAACGGTCGATTTTGCTAAAATGCAATTTCTGTAATACACGGGACTCTAATCCCGTGTAATTTAAAGCTTTAATTAAGCGGCCAAATTATACGGGACTAGTAGTCCCGTCCATTTTCCATTTCCTTGGCATGACTAATGATGGATTAGCATGCCCTAATTACACAGGACTAGTAGTCCCGTGTAATAAAAAAAACCTTCAGAAAAATCAACCGTTTTCTGCCCGCGAGGGCTAAAAACGGTCGATTTTTTCTCATTTTAAGGGAGAATGTCGTTTTTTCTGAATAAATTCTCAAAATGGTTGATTTCAAAATTTTCTCCTCTACATACTGTCGTCAAATCAGTACACCTAGAGCAGGTCCACGTAAAGAGTTCAGTTAGATCAGTCACGTACACCTGCAGAATACAGCAAGATATAGATGAGAAGCCCTGTGGATGATGGAGATGTACATCAACATTTTAATAAAGCATAAAATTACACTGTAACCAACAAACATAGATTTTATGCATATGAAAAATCCAAGCAATTTCTTTTCATCAAATGCAATTTGAGCAGTCAAATGCACATAAATTTAGGATTACTTTAGCTCAAAGAACTTCTCAGGATAAAACTCACAGCAGAGGCATACTCCGCTAGTATCACTGCAAGTGTATGGTTGTAGATATCAGTGTAATCTTCATCCTTGATCTTGAGTTCTATAATTATCAAAAATAACAGAACAAAAATTAAACACTGAGATAAGTGAGCATAAAAGATTGAAAATAACAAATATTTTGCAAATTGCAACAGAACGATGAATGTATGCATGTGTGCGCAAAGATGAGTATGCATGCATGAATTCAAATCTGATTTAACTCTTCTGTGCCAGTAAACTGATTAATTTATTTCGGGGATTGGCTTGGAGCCTCAAATCATAATGGGGTTCCCTAGGTTTCTGGAACAACAAATTGGCCAAAGGCTTTCCTCAAGTAATTCTGAACAGATCAAGCAGTTCACGCAGAAAACACATCTTCAAAACACAGGAATCTTATTCATGGAATTCAAACGCAACTTAATAGGAAGCTACGGCTGGTAAAGGTGGAATAGTGGTCCCGATCACTTTAATTTGGTGAAGTTTTTTTGTCCACCAGTGGTGAAGTTTTGGGTCTAATTGCACATTTGGCTCAGAAAAAAATACCAAAACATCGCCGGATATAGACAAAATACCAAACAGGTAAGAGGGTACACCAAAAGTAGCAATGTAGTAATTTAGCCATTCCAAAAAGGGGGAAATGAAGGACAACAAATAAGAAATATAAATGCGGAGATAAATACCCCAAAAAGCCACCTCATTCACAGTCATTTTGCATCTTCACTCAGTACATTGCTCTAATTAAGCAGCGTAAAGCTCTAATCAAAATGTATTAGCTCATCCTGCTTATAAGGCGATAAGTAGTTATAATAGCTTCCAATATCCAATAATACAATTTAATCGGGGGCACTTGTTGGTTTTAGCTTGTAATAATCATCCACGACGTTATACATGCATCTATCGCAATCACTACCTAACACAAGAATTGAGATTGAAATTACTATAAAGAATATGATAAGTGAATCATCAATAACGGAGAGCAGAACAAGGTGCAATGATTATCTTATAATACTTGAACTAATCATTTATTATTAGCCACGCAGTCTTTCAAGTCAAAATCTTAGAACTAGTAAAACTTAATCTCCTTTTCGTAATTTCTAAAAGTGGATTCTTTTCTACTCAGAAAGTAAACTTCAATATTGGAATGAAATGCACACAGAATATAAGAATTTTCATTGTAGCAACCTAATCGAGGGAATGAAAATTTTAACAGAAAAAATTTTTACCTCTCCCTTCGGGAACCAGAAATAAGCAAATCAAAATCAAAGCCCCAAACGCCCGCCGACGTCCCATTACCTGATTCAATTGCTAAAATTTTGATCAAATATTCGAACCACAAATAACTTTGTTCAAATTTTTGCGGAATTTATAATCAAATTAGGGTTTTCGTGTCACGCCAAAGGAGATCGTCCAGTAAATCGTCTGTGGAATTTGATTGATTTATTTATCCATCTAAATTACCACAATACCCTTCAACTTGTGATTATCCAAAGTTTGGATCATTATGGCGCTAATACGAGTTAATTTGCAGCTACCTGAAATTGACAAGTATTAATTGGGATTTAATGAGGAGGTTAGATCCGGGGACAGATTGGTCTATTCGGTACAACATGGGTGTTCTCGTAGTTGTTGATGTGGGAAATTAGAACAATTGTGTCACGTCATTTCAAACCTATTTCTTGTTCACTTCTTCAATTTTGACCATGTCTAATTTTTATTTTTCTTGATTAAGATCTATTTGACTTATGATTAAGTGGTATCAGGACAGAGCGTTATTTGGTGCAAACCGAATAATCTGACCGAACCAACCGATTTTCAACAGTTCGGTTCGGTTTTAGAAATTTTATAACCATATAATTGTCTACAAACTCATGCACTTTATAGATGAAAAGATAACTTATACTAATACTTTTATGTCTTAAATGATTAAGGTTTGATTCTAGTTTGTAAAGTAATTGATTTAACGATTTTGCTTGTGATATGAGAATTGAGATGACCGAGAGATTTAAAAGAGTAAAAGTGTTATCTTTTAAGCTAAAAAAAAATCCTCTCTTGACATGTCTATGCTCAAACAAAACTGAGTTGCACCGAACCAATTCATTTTGGTTCGGATTGATTTTAAAATCTAATTTGATTCGATTTGCTTCAACAAAAAAATGGTCAAAATCGACCGAACCAACTGTTTGCTCGCCGTGGTATGTAGACATATTTCTATGATGATAATAGTCTTTTATATGAGAAATATTGGTATCTTTAGTATCAATGATATATAATATATATATATAATATATTATATATTATATATTATTATATATATATATATATATATATATATATATATATATATAATGAGAATAATGGAGGTGAGCTGGCAGCTTACCTCACCGCGTGAGCTGCAAGTGTATGACATGTGAGCCCCTACTAGTCACATCGGTGTGGGGCTCACATGTCATACACTTGCAGTCATGGGGAGAGGTGAGCTGCAGCTCACCTCCATTATTCTCTCTCTCTCTCTCTCTCTCTCTCTCTATATATATATATATATATATATATATATATAATATATATATATATATATATATATATATATATATATATATATATAGAGAAGAGAGAGAGAGAGAGAGATTAATGTGTATCCTTGTCATAGGAGGGGATTTCCTCCTTGACGCCTATGTGGCACAATCCCCACCATTCTCATAAAGTAGGAGAGAGTGTGTGAGTTGGTGGGATTTGTGCCTACTTTATGAGGATGGTGAGGATTGTGTCACATAGACGACAAAGAGGGAAATCTCCTCCTATGACAAGAATACTCATCAATCTCATATATATATATATATATATATATATATATATATATATATATATATATATATATATATATATATATATATATATATATATATATATAATAAGAGGTGAATTGGGGAGACTTTTTTTATTTATCAAACTAGCTTTTAAGCTAGCATTTTTATTTCTATCTGTTTGGTAAAATGTCAAATAAGTTAGCTTATAAGTCTTATTTTGAAAAGCTAGTATAGCCCAGTTTTTAAAAAAGGAAAAAATATGTCAATGCCCCAAAATAAATAAGCTGATGTGGCCAGCCCCATTAACTTTTTCCCTTACTCTTGAGCCCCAAAAGAGAATAAAAAGTGTGGTCCAGACCCAAAAGCCCACTTTTATACATATACCCTCTGTATTTTGAGCAGCCTACCAAAAATGCCATCTTCTTTCACCCAGGAAACCGTCTCCTTCACCCATCAACCCGGTGATCTCTGTCATCGCAATTAATGCGAATCTACGACGAAAATGGAGGGAAGAAAGTGTGGGTTCCCTCCATTATAGGTGTATCTCATCATCGAGTACATATTCTATAGTTTTATCTCTCACTCCCTCATTTATGAAATTAGGGTTTTTATTCTTCAACTTTCAACAACCCTTATGCGCTAAAAATTTCCTTAATTACTCCTCATAACTGTCCTGATAACTTTCAACAACTCCCAATGGCTATCAAAGACTTGATTTGCATGGTGTCCTTAGGCGAGAAGGCTATATTCTTGATACTATGTTCTACAATAAGCTTTTTTGAACTGAAATTTGATGTGTCTAAAAGACTAAAAATACCTCAAGATGCTTTATTATTGATATATAAATCTAAGAGGCACCCAAACCTGAGTTTTTTAGTTGATAATAAAGATAATTGGAAGTGCATGTTGGAGCACAATCGAAATATTAGTTGTACGGAGATTTACATGCAAGCTGTTGTTAATATAGAGGGTTCTACTTTTGAAAAAAATCAGAAAGTTCTTACTGAAATGTAAGTAGTTAATGAACTTTTTTTAAAACTGGGCTTTGTATGATGTAAACTTTGTGATTTTAGGTTTCGATGCACAATCGAAAAATACAGCTGTCATTCGTAATGGTTAGATGTTAACTCTTCCTGTAAAATATTAAGTTTTTTTATTCTTCAACATTCAACAACCACTTATGCGCTAAAAATTCCCTTAATTACACCTTCATAACTGTCCTCATTACTTTTAACAACCCCCAATGACCGCCAAAGACCTGATTTGCATGGTGTCGTTAGCCGAGAAGGCTATACTGATGATGCTAAATTCTACAACAAGCTTTTTTAAACTAAAATTTGATGTGTCTGAAAGACTGAAAGTACCTCAAGATGTTTTATCATTGATTTATAAATCTGAGAGGTACCTCAAGATGCTTTATCATTAATAATGAAGATGATTTGAAGTGTATGTTGGAGCATAATTGAAATACTAGTTGTACGGAGATTCACATGCAAGATGTTGTTAATATAAAGGGTTAAAGTTGTGAAATACCTCAAGATGCTTTACCATTGATATATATTTCTGATATGCACCCGAACCTGAGTTTTTCAGTTGATAATTAAAATGATTAAAAGTGCATATTGGAGCATAATCGAAATACTTGTACGGAGATTCACATGCAAGTTGTTGTTAATATAGAGGGTTCTACTTTTGAAAAAAATCAAAAAGTTCTTATTGAAATGTAAGTAACCAATGAACTATTTTTAGGCTTTGTGTGATGTAAACTTTGTGATTTTAGGTTTCAATGCACAGACGAAAAACATAGTTGTCATCTGTAATGGTTAGATGTTAACTCTTCCTATAAAATGTTAAGTTTTAACAAGATATGTTAATTTTTACACGAACATATTAACTTTCACGTGAACATGTTAGTCTTTTCATGAAGTTGTTAGCTTTCCTCATAGCGTGTTAACTATGTGTATAGTTTGTTAAACTCCACTGCTCTATGTTTACCGAAACATGTTATTTTTACTCTTAGTCAGTTAACACTCACAGCTACCTGTTATTTTACATAAGAAGCTATTTATTTAAAATATCAGAAGATAATATTATACTATAGTTGAATATGATATCTCACTGGTTCATTAATTTGTGCAGCAGTCATGCCTCTTTGCATGCAGAATGTAGTCATCCTCTTCCAGGAAATGCTTCTAATTTAGAGAGAATCCAAAATGATTGTCTGTTTGGTGAGAATGTAAGGAAAGCTGATGATATTCTCAACAACACTTCCATCATTCCTCCATGGTGGTACACATTATTAACTAAAAAGGGGTAACAATTTGAAACTATAAATGAATTGAGACTAGCTTTGTAATACTATTCTATGACAAAAAAGTTTGACTATGAATTTGCAAAGAATAAACCCAAACGTATCCAAGTTTATTATCGATATAAGGAGACATATGGACGCCCTTGAATGTTGTTTGTCTCTCTTGTTAAAAATGAAAAAAGAATTAAAATCAAAAGGTTTGTGAATGAACATAGTTGCAGACAACACACTAACTTATCAGGGTAATCACGGTCATCTTGCAAATTCATAACAACCCAATTGTAACATGTATTAAAGGTTCGTGTAGGTTCCTCTTGAATGTATACCAAGTGTAGGATTGTGACCCTTAAGAAAAGAGTACGCTCTTATAAAGAGTAAATATGCAGAAGCTTTACACTTAAAACACTAGAGGGTCAGTTTGCAAGATGTGTTATAAATTACAAGAAAGAATGGCAACAATCTCAGAAAATGAACATCACAAACACAAGCATGTATACTGGTCCCACCTCCCCGATATACATCCAATCCCTAAGCAAATCCCACTTAAGATTCCCACTATGATTTTGAAACCTTACAAAATCAAAAGCAAACTTGACCAATTTGCAAGACCATACAAATTGCAAACCCAATTGACAACACCATACCAATTGTAAACTGACCTCTAGACCAAGAGAAAAACCCTCTCTCAAACCGGAGAGATCCTTCCTTGTAGTAAGATACAAATCCTTCCTTGTGAATGTGCTTCTCACTATGGCTATAGGTTTCTCCCTCTGAAATTTGCCTAAACACTTAGTAGGAAATGATCAAGAACATAGGCTATTTCTGAACTTTTTTACTTAGGCAAAATCTGAATATTTTGGCCTCTTGAATGTAAAAAATGTTTGATCTTATGAGTGAAAGTCTTAGTTATAGTTTTCTGACATGTTACCCTATTTATAGCCTTTGAAATGACAAGTTTTCAAACCCTAAAAACGTACACAAACGGCTATAAACAGTCAAGTATTCAAATCTCAAATAGTTAGAAAAACTGTCTGAGTAGTCGACTATAACTCTTAGTAGTCGATCATTCTGAGTTCTAACAGACTCTGTGTAGTCATATAATTCCTTAGTAGTCGATGACTCTACTCATTAGTCGACTACACTGTAATCGACAGAAAGTCTGGAATTCCGATTTAACGTTGATTAGTCGACTATAATATCCTAGTAGTCGACTAGTCTGTAATAACACAAAAACTGATATTCTGTCTGTGTCTTTTGTAGTCGACTATTCATGCTATTCGTCGACTATTAAGGGGTAGATATGAGCTATATGATATGT